TTAAAAGTATATAGTTCATAATAATAAAACCCACACAATATTGCTTTGTGGAATAAAAAACCCTACAGAACGAAGTTATGAAATTAACCTGTGTGCTACAGCGGATCTGATTGTTATTAAGGTAAGTACACGTGTATATATTTAGTCGCGTAAACTCAGATTGCCGTTCAAAGTCTGTTACACATAACCCTTTAGTTACTTAGGTAAACTCAGATTGGCCGTTCAAAAGTAAATTTTAGTTACACACTCTACGTGACGTTGCATAAGAACTCTTCAACCTTTAGTTATACACTCTACGTGACGTTGCATAAGAACTGTTCACGTGTTTCCACTAATTCGATAACCACAAACTCGTCGTCAACTTCTCCAAGGCTACTAATAACTGGTACCATACTAATCAACAAGTAAACATTTATGATTTAAGAAGATGCTACGTTAAAATGAAAGCACGGAGTGAACACTTTTGTTGTTTATGGTATAAGTAGATCGATATCAAACGCTTAAATCAGTCGCAGGTGTTAAATAATTTGTCAAAGTGTGTGTACTGTTTGTTTCTATTGTTTAGAGTTAATGTCCATACATTAGATTGCTTATGTCATAGTTAACACTCAAATGCACTTATTTCCATTGGTATTACGGATTTAGGGTAGTGACTTGAAACTCCATGTTTTAAAACTTCAGTTAAAATATGATGTCTTGCACATGAAAAGAGTGATAGAATCATCAAGTGATGTGTTAGTGTTACCGCAAATCCACCAGAGAAAAAAATGGAAAATGAATATGAGAAAGGAATCTACAGAGAAGAAGAAACTAGTCCTATAAGGCTATAAGTTTTCTTTTGTTTGTGTTTGAGTGATACTCTCTTACCTTTTATTAGCGTTTTTGGCTATAAACTAGCCCTATAAAGGGGTTTTTTTTGGACGAATGTAGGAAAATCGAGAAAGAAAGCTGGTACTGAGTCGTTTCTAGGATTTCAATGTAAAATTTGGTACTAAATACCGAATTTAAATTACACATAGTTACTATTATGGTCACTTGGAAGAAGCTGTGGTGAGGAGCTTCATTAGTTCATATCAAAGCTCTCTAATAAGCTAAGTCAAAATAAAGTCTACAAAACATAAAACTCAAAAAATTCCGCTGCCGGGAGTCCCAGATTTCCAAAGGGTGGGATACAGAACAGTAACACAATTGCGCTCAGTGAGCAGTAGGAATTGGAATCAAGGTACGTAAACCTAATTTATTTACTCATCTAAACTCAAACTCAAAGATTTGCAAACCTTTTAATTACTTTGGGCCGAGAGCCCGTTAAATACTTGCTGCAAAATTTTACATCATCTGTTCAATAAATTACTTTTCTCTTGTGTTATCAATGGTAAGTATTTTGAGTTTGTTATAACAGTGATAATATATTAACACGTTTCTTAATACCCTTTAGTTTGTAATTTCTACTAAGAATACTATTCAATGTAATCTATAGCCAGGTTACAGTCCACTTTAATTCAACATCACATATATAGCTATTCAAAGTCAAAATATATATCTGTGTACACATGTGTTTCTTGGACAAGAAGAAACTCTTGTAGCTGTTTTTCTTCACTCTCATATCTTTAGGAGTAGATCCTTAAAAGTAGACACCATTGTTGGAACTCATTTTTGAAAGTATATTCATTTGTCAAAAACTAAGTTTGTTTGAATGAGAAATGGAAATCCAAATGAGTTGCTTGTAACATAAATTGTTCGACATTAGAAGTTTGTGGTGAAATCTTCGTGTAGATAAAGTGAAATTTTTAAAAACAAGATTTAAAATCTTGTATACACTTTAGTATATTGGAGGAAATATATACTCGGGCTGGACTTGTGTTTTGAGCCTTGGGATTGGCAGTCCGACTAAGGTCCATAAGTTTATTATTTTTGGCCGAAAATTCTTATTGAGTTTTGATATTGAATAAGTTAACAAATATCTCCTCCAATTAATTTGTTTCAAGTGACAAATAACTGCAAAGTCAATACTATTGATTTTGTAACTTAAAAACAATCAAAGTCAAATTGAAAGAAATATTGTGAACTGACCATCTCCCTTTAGTGCTTTACGTTAAGATACGTTGAGCAAGACTTTATAAAGCCATGATGTATCCTCCTCTTCTGAATACATGATTAATAACACATTCATACACAAGAAAACAATTTCTTCTCTTCTTTTCATTTGTCTTTATTATTATGAGAATACAATGTTTGCTTATGCTTATGTCATTTGCCAGGGACCTAAGGCACAAGTTAATCAAGGAATGAATATTACAAAAACTTCACAAACGATAGGGTAATTGGAGTTGTACTTCATGTTATCATCAGAAGGAAAATATGATAGTCTGATGATTTTATACTGGAGAGGATAAGATCCGATTACCGTTAAACCGAGTATTATTGTGAAATATGATGCTAGTTTCGGTATGGTCATGTACTGTTTTGTGGTTGGTTTGCAAACCATGTACTCAATGTCTTCCTTAAAATGGGCAATCATTAACACAAAGCAGAATCCCATGACTTGCATCACAAGCTTTGAAGTTAACTCTTCCTCGTGGTAGAAAATTGAGAGTGATCTGAGACCCGTCAAGAATGTTTATGTGGTTTTTGATGAAAGTGGAGTGAACCGTTAGTTTTTCGTTATACTCGAGGAAGAAACCGGAAACAAAAGTTGTTTAAGTCAAGTACGACGATATCTGTTTCCAGTTACTGCCTTGAGTAAAACGAAAGACTAATAGTTCACTCAACTTTTGTCAAAAATCCCAGAAATATTTCTGATGGGTCTGAGATCTCTCTCAATTTTCTATCACGAGAAAGAGTTAACATCAAATCTTGTGACGTAAGGCATGGGATCTTGCTTTGTGTTAATGATTTTCTGTTCAAAAGAAGACACCATGAGTTCATGGTCTACAAACCAACCACAAACAGTACATGACCATACCTAAACCAGAATCATATTTCACAATCACACTCTGTTTAACGGTGATCGGATCTGATCCTCTCCGTTATAAATTCATCAGAATCTCAGATTTATCTTCCGATGAGAACAAGAGGTACAACCTCAATTACCCTCTCGTTTGTGAAGTTTTTGTAACACCCATTCCCTGATCATGTGTTATAGGTTTTGCGCCACAAACAACACACATGCACACTAAAAAAGGGAGAAAAGGAGGAGTGAGTAATGAATTACTCAGTGAGGAATGATCATCCATGCCCACATGAGACACATTACAATAATAATTCAAAACAATATATGCATATAATAAATTAAAATATGGCACAAGCATCACACAACCTAGAAATATAATATCTAGTAGCAATCAACCTACCATGTAATCACATTGACTTTTTATCCATACTTACTTAACACATTACATAACACTTTACTCATCACATCACATCACATCACATCACATTACATCACATACCACATCTCAGCACACTTTTACATGATAACTATTTCTTTTATTCGTTGAATTTCATTTGATCAAAATTATAATCCAACTCACGACGCAATGACAAAAGCTCATTAAAGTTCCTTGCGAAATAGGTTAGGGTCCATTAAGCTTCCTTGCGCAGCGGGTTAGGGTTTTATTCGATTCCCATGATTGAGTTGTGACAGTTTTCGATTTAGATACATTTATGTGGAAGCGACTATCAAAGAACGTGGAAAGGCCAGCAGAAGACTAACCAGGTTTAAGAATGTCTGAATCCGTTTTTGCTTATGGGTTTTTGCATTGGTTAGCCAGCAATAATGTGTTACGGTTTTGTCTGAAAACCAACACTTGGTCGTTTCTGAGAACCTAGCAAGCGATAGATCTCTAAAGTTGACAAGACACGAAGGTAAGCTTGGAGTTTTCAATTCGAGGTCAAAGGAAGGAGTGGATTATCTTGAGATATGGGTTTTGGCGGGCATTATTGGGAGTTTTTGGGTGAAAGTGAAAGAGACTGAAGTATGGAGCTCAACCGTGTAGAATTATTGAACATTAATTTTACAACTGTTCAGTATAATATATTGTTAAATTATTTATTGTTAATAATTTTGATGGTTAATTTATTGCATCCGCAAGTCAACCAGTCATAAGTATCCTGCAAATACATCCATTTTCAACCGTTATCCCAGTCTTACAAACCGCTTAATAATGCTTTTAACTGCAACCGTCCGCTTCAGCAAACTCCGGCAACCGCAACTCTAAATAGATCGATATCAACCGCTTAAATGTTAAATATTGTAACATCCATAAACCCAAAATTGAGAATTTCGTCGGTTCAATTTAAGTGATTTGGTTTGGGCCGGTTTAGTGGAGAAAGCCCTAAAATCAAGTTTAAAGAGTGCAGCCGTCTTCTCTTTGGGAATTTTCGAGCTCAAAGGCTGCAGAGGAGAAAAGTGGAGTTTTTGGAGAGATTTTCGAGTTTTACTGTTCATCGGGTTACTGTTCATCGGGTTACTGTTCATCGGGGTACTGTTCATCGGGGGTACTGTTCATCGTCGGGATTTCGCACTGTTCATTGTCTTTCCTTCAGTTTCAATCCATTGTCAAGGTGAGTGCATGACTGTGGGTCCGCGATTTGCTAGATTAGATTTGGTTTATGATTGTTCTTGATGAGTTTTGTGTTTAATTGTTATTTCATGATATTTTGAATTGTGTTTTGTTGGTTTAATTGTTTAATTGGTTTAATTGAATTTAATTGATTTGATTCTGGTTTATCTTGGTTCAATTGAATTTAATTGGTTTATATTGGTTTAATGGAATTAAATAGATTTAATTCGGATTTAATTAATTAAATAATATTTATTTAATTAATTGGTTTAAATTTTAATTATTTTAAAATATGGAAAATTATTATTTAATTATGAGAATTATTTAATAATTGAGAAATTGAGTTTTAATTATTAAAAATTATTTAATAATTGGAAAATGGTATTTAATAATTATTGGAGTTTATAAATATTATTAAATATCTAGTAAATTGCGTAAATGGCTCGTAGGCAGAGTGATTGCCTCACTAAGTATTTATTAAATACTTACGCAACTCCATTCCAATGTGTTGCAGGTAAAAGATTTGTGTGATCGCGGAATCAAGGCTGAAGAGGGGGATGATAGGATGTTTACTGTTTTATTGTTTTGCATTATTTTGCTAGACTTGTTTAATTATTATTTGCTTTGAGCTGATTTATTTGTTATTGATATTTTATTTATTTAATTTATTTAAAGACCTTCGCTAGAATTGATTAATTTATTTATAAAAAAAAAAAAATGTTGGTTGTTTCATTTTGGTATCAGAGCCTAGACGGTTTTAGGACTGTTAGAATTGCTAGGCTTAGTATCATCCCCTTCAGCTAAAGGAGATTCCGCGGTGAGTTTTGGTGTTTGTGTTTTTGTGTTATTGTCTAGTTGCTCATGTTCGGGTCCATGCAGTGAGATGGACGGAGCTCCTAGAGGTCGTGGCGCGAGAGGGCGCGGTGCTAGAGGTCCGTGGCGGCAGAGCTGGTGGTAGAGCTGGAGGCCGAGCAGGCCGAGGTCGTGGTCGTGGACTTCCGGAGGAGTCGGGAGAGAGTGCGGCACCGAGTGTGCATACTGCGTCGGTGACCCAGTCAGTTCCGTTGGCGGGTGATGCCAGTGTGTGGTTTGGGAGCGGGGGCTGCTCCGGGTGGGGGTGGCGCTCCGGCTCCGGGTCGTGATGACTTAGTGGTGGGGTTGCTGACGCAGCTATTGGCTCGTTTTCCGCCGGTGGTTCCACAGGGGGCTCCAGGAGTACCGCCAGTGGCAGAGGTGCAGCATGTTGCTGCAGACGTTGCGCAGCCGGAGGCTGTGGGTGCGGGTGTGACCGTTATTTGGAGTTTATGGGCCACATGCAGAGGATTGGTACGCCTTTCTTCGAGGGCAGAGTTGGTCCGGAGGAGGCAGACGCGTGGCGTCAGAGAGTGGAGCGGAACTTTCATTCGATCCGTTGTCCTATGGAGTACTGGGTGGAGTTAGCGGTCCACTATTTGAGTGGCGATGCTCATTTGTGGTGGCAGGCCGCGGTGGGCCGGAGGGCATTTTGGACTTGGGGCGACTTCCTTGTGGAGTTCAACGCCAAGTATTTCCCGAGGCAGGCTCGTGATCGTCTTCAGATGCGGTTTATGGGCATTGAGCAGGGTTCGCGTTCTGTACGCGAGTATGATGAGGAGTTCAGCCGTCTGTTAGTGCATGCGGGCTTTGGTATGGAGGCTGAGCATCAGTTGACGAACAGATTTCTGGAGGGACTTCGCAAGGATATCCGGACGCTATGCAGAGTAGTATGCACACTTCGAGGGCGAGTCTGGTAGAGTTGGCCGCGTCGGTTGAGGCGGATCTTGAGTGGGCCAGTTGGTCCGGTGGCTGTGCCGTCAGCAGTTGCTCCTGCCTCGGGGTCAGCAGCAGCAGCCGCAGCAGCAGCAGCAGCGCAGAGGTGGTTCGAGTTTCAGTTCTGGTTCTGGCAGGGGCGGTTTGCCTGCGCAGGGTCAGAAGAGGAGTAGAGAGGAGTCTGGTGCTAGTCAGTACTCGTGGTGTTGTTGTTGTGGGAGTACGGAGCATCGTATGGCGAGTTGTCCCAGGAGAGAGGCGGTCAGCACCAGGGTGTGTACTACTTGCAAGGAGCCTGGGCATATCAAGCCCATGTGTCCTAAGTTGCGGAGTATGTCGGTGGCAGCGGTTCAGCCAGTAGCGGCTCAGCCAGTGAGTCAGATCGCAGCAGTGCAGCCGCGGGTCAGATTGCACCGGCACCGCGGGGTTACTCTTCAGTGGAGACTGGCGGGACTAGTCAGACCGGGCAGATCACAGGTAAATCTTCGACTCAGACTTTGTAAATTCTTAGTATAGAATTGTTGTTGTGTTATTGTCTGTTAGTCATTTTTATCTGTGATAGTCTTGTGGAGGTTCTCAACGCAATTGAATGTGTAGGGACCTTGTTAGTGGGCGGTTTTGAGTCCCACGTTTTATTCGACTCTGGAGCATCGAATTGCTTCATTACACCGGAGCGTGCCGAGAAGAGTGGCATCCGGAGTAGCGCGGGCGAGAGCGCGGGCATGGTCAAGGTGGCGGGAGGTGGATTCTTGTCTACTTTGGGCCGTGCTAGAGGAGTCGAGATCGAGATTGCGGGGCAGTCAATGCCAGCAGACTTAGTCATCAGTCCGGTGGAGCTGTATGACGTTATTCTCGGGATGGACTGGTTGTCACACTACAGAGTTCATCTGGATTGCTACAGAGGTAGAGTGGTCTTCGAGCGAGATGCAGGGAGGTTGGTTTATCAGGGAGTGAGACCGACTTCCGGGAGTATTGTGATATCTGCTATTCAGGCCGAGCAGTTGTTAGAGCGGGGCTGTGAGGCGTATCTGGCGACGATTTCTATGTCTGAGTCAGGAGCTGGAGTTGTTATGGGAGATATTGAGGTTGTCCAGGATTTTGAGGATGTCTTTCAGTCACTGAAGGGATTACCACCATCTCGGTCTGATCCTTTCACGATTGAGTTAGAGCCGGGGACAGCACCGATATCGAAGACGCCTTACAGGATGGCGCCAGCTGAGTTGGCAGAGCTGAAGAAGCAGATAGAGGACCTTTTGTCTAAGGGGTTCATTCGACCGAGTGTTTCACCGTGGGGAGCACCGGTGTTGTTTGTGAAGAAGAAGGATGGAGTTTCAGACTTTGTATCGATTACAGAGGTCTTAACCGAGTCACTGTGAAGAACAGGTACCCACTCCCGAGGATTGATGAGTTGTTGGATCAGTTGAGGGGTGCTACTTGGTTCTCCAAGATTGACTTGGCATCGGGGTATCATCAGATCCCGATAGATGAGGCAGATGTCAGGAAGACTGCTTTCAGGACGCGTTATGGGCATTTTGAGTTTGTGGTTATGCCTTTCGGTTTGACTAACGCGCCGGCAGCCTTCATGAGATTGATGAACGACGTGTTCAGGGAGTATTTGGACGTGTTCGTCATCATTTTCATTGATGATATTCTGGTATACTCGAGGAGTCAGGAGGAGCATGCGACTCACTTGAGGTTGGTTCTGGAGAAGCTTCGGGAGCAGAAGCTTTTTGCTAAGTTGAGCAAGTGCAGTTTCTGGCAGCGAGAGATGGGATTTCTTGGCCACATTGTTTCTGCAGAGGGAGTTTCTGTGGATCCGGCTAAGATTGAGGCTATCAGAGATTGGCCTAGACCTAGTAGTGCCACCGAGATCAGGAGTTTTCTGGGTTTGGCAGGATACTACAGGAGGTTCGTCAAGGGGTTTGCTACCATGGCGCAGCCGATGACGAAGTTGACCGGGAAGGATGTCCCTTTTTTGGTCAGCTGAGTGTGAGGAGAGCTTTAGTCAGCTCAAGGAGATGTTGACTACTACACCAGTGTTGGCGTTACCCGAGCCAGGGAAGCCTTACATGGTGTATACAGATGCTTCAGGCATTGGTCTTGGTTGTGTGCTGATGCAGGAGGGCAGAGTGATAGCATATGCTTCGAGACAGTGGCAGGGCAGTGAGCGTAACCGTCCTACACATGACTTAGAGTTGGGAGCAGTGATCTTCGCGTTGAAGATTTGGAGGTCTTACTTGCTAGGTGAGACAGTACAGGTCTTCACGGATCACAAGAGTTTGCAGCATATCTTCACTCAGCCGATGATGAACGCGAGACAGACGCGCTGGGTTGAGTTCTTGGCGGATTATCAGGTGAGCATTAACTACCATCCGGGCAAGGCTAACCTAGTGGCGGACGCGTTGAGTAGACGGAGGTATGATTCCGCAGTTGAGCGAGATGTGGAGTCTCTAGTTGGCGAGATCAGTACCTTGCGTTTGTGTGCCATTTCGCAGGAGCCTTTGGGTTTAGAGGCGGTGGATCAGGCGGATCTACTTAGCAGGATCAGAGTTGCTCAGCAGAGTGATCAGAGTTTGCTGGATGCGACTAGAGTGACTGGTTCTGAGTATGAGGTCTCTGCGAATGGGACTATCTTGGTTCGTGGGCGAGTTTGTGTGCCTAAGGATGTGGAGTTGAGACATCAGATTTTGGGAGAGGCTCATGCGAGCAAGTTTTCCATTCATCCGGGAGCGACCAAGATGTACCATGACCTCAAGAGGTACTATCATTGGGTCGGGATGAAGAGGGATGTAGCAGACTGGGTTGCGAAGTGCAACACTTGTGCCTTGGTGAAGGCAGAGCATCAGGTTCCGGGTGGTCTTTTGCAGAGTTTACCCATTCCAGAGTGGAAGTGGGACAGGATTACGATGGATTTCGTGGTTGGACTACCTGTTTCGAGGACTTTCGATGCTATCTGGGTGATTGTGGATCGGTTGACTAAGTCTGCACATTTCTTGGCCATCAAGAAGACAGATGGAGCTGCTGTCTTGGCTAGGAAGTTTGTGCGAGAGATTGTGAGGCTGCATGGAGTGCCAGCTAGTATTGTGTCAGACCGTGATCCCAGATTCACTTCAGAGTTTTGGAGGGCGTTTCAGGCAGAGATGGGCACTAAGGTGCATCTGAGTACAGCTTATCATCCGCAGACAGATGGTCAGTCAGAGAGGACTATTCAGACTTTGGAGGATTTGCTGAGGATGTGTGTGTTGGATTGGGGTGGCCATTGGGCAGATCACCTGAGCTTAGTTGAGTTTGCATACAACAACAGCTTTCAGGCGAGTATTGGCATGGCTCCATTTGAGGCTTTGTATGGGAGGCCATGTAGGACACCCCTATGCTGGACCCAAGTGGGGGAGCGCAGCATGTATGGAGCTACTTATGTTCAGGAGACGACAGAGAAGGTTCGTGTTGTGAGGCTGAACATGAAGGAGGCTCAGGATAGGCAGAAGAGTTATGCAGATAGACGCAGACGAGAGCTTGAGTTTCAGGTGGGAGATAGAGTTTATCTCAAGATGGCTATGTTGAGGGGTCCTAACAGATCCATAGCAGAGAACAAGCTGAGTCCGCGTTTTATGGGTCCGTTTCCAGTAGTGGAGCGAGTTGGGCCATTGGCTTACAGGCTGGAGTTGCCTGAGATTATGAAAGCCTTTCACAAGGTTTTTCATGTGTCGATGCTGAGGAAGTGTCTTCACCCTACAGAGGAGTTAGTGGCTAGGATTCCAGAGGATCTTCAGCCAGATTTGACAGTGCCGGCAGTGCCTGTGAGGATTTTAGAGAGGAGGGAAAAGGTTCTGAGGAACAAGAGGATTCCCTTACTGAGGATTTTGTGGGATTGCAGTGGTTCTACAGAGGAGACTTGGGAGCCAGAGGCAAAGATGAAGTTGAAGTTCAGGAAGTGGTTCGACAAGCAGGTCGAGGAGTGAGCTTATTTCATCTTTGTAGCCTCAGTTGTTTTTTTGGCTTTGGTGTTATTGTATTTTCGTTTTCGTTGTAACGATATACATTTTGGAGTTTTAATGAGATGCAGTTTTTCCTCATTTTGCCTTGTGTTGTGAATGGTATTCGGATGTTACACATGTTTGACCAGTTTTTGGTTGTGAGACGGTCTAATCTTATGGTTATAGACATTTTCCGGAATTTTTACTCTAAGGATTGCGATCCTGAATAACTCATCATGTTTTTGGAGACTTCGTTCTCTGGCAGACTCTCTGGGTGCAAGTAGGCCTCAGTTGAGTGTAGCTTATGGGTGCAAGTAGGCCTCAGTATAAGCAGTTTAGTTCATCTGGGTGCAAGTGGGCCTCAGTATGGACGTTTTCGGGTTCGTCTGGGTGCAAGTGGGCCTCAGTGCGGACCGGTGTGGACTTGTCTGGGTGCAAGTGGGCCTCAGTACAAGTGGTTTGGATGATGAGTTAGGAGTGAAATTTTCTTGGAACGTGTTTATGACATAAGATATGACGTTTGTCTCGGGGATCAAGTGAGGATCTCCGGTGTTGCGGCCTTGCGAGGTTGGGTTTTGTGGTCTTTGTGACGTTTGCGTTGGGATTCGAGGACGAATCCAGTTTAGTGGGGAAGAGTTGTAACATCCATAAACCAAAAATAAAAATTGGGAATTTTGTCGGTTCAATTTAAGTGAATTGGTTTGGGTCGGTTTAGTGGAGAAAGCCCTAAAATCAAGTTTAAAGAGTGCAGCCGTCTTCTCTTTGGAGAATTTTCGAGTTCAGGCTGTAGAGGAGAAAAGTTGAGTTTTTGGAGAGATTTTCGATTTTACTGTTCATCGGTACTGTTCATCGGTACTGTTCATCGGGTACTGTTCATCGGGTTACTGTTCATCGCGGGATTCGGCACTGTTCATTGTCTTTTTCCTTCAGTTTCAATCATTGTCAAGGTGAGTGCATGACTGTGGGTCCGTGATTTGCTAGATTAGATTTGGTTTGTGGTTGTTCTTGATGAGTTTATGTTTAATTGTTATTTCATGATATTTTGGTTTTATGGTTTAATTGTTTAATTGGTTTAATTGGTTTAATTGGTTTAATTGAATTTAATTGATTTGATTCTGGTTTATCTTGGTTCAATTGAATTTAATTGGTTTATTTAATTGGTTTAATGGAATTAAATAGATTTAATTCGGATTTAATTAATTAAATAATATTTATTTAATTAATTGGTTTAAAATAATTATTTTAATTATTTTAAAATATGGAAAATTATTATTTAATTATGAGAATTATTTAATAATTGAGAAATTGAGTTTTAATTATTAAAAATTATTTAATAATTGGAAAATGGTATTTAATAATTATTGGAGTTTATAAATATTATTAAATATCTAGTAAATTTAAATACTTACGCTTACGCAACTCCATTCCAATGTGTTGCAGGTAAAAGATTTGTGTGATCGCGGAATCAAGGCTGAAGAGGGGGATGATAGGATGTTTACTGTTTTATTGTTTTGCATTATTTTGCTAGACTTGTTTAATTATTATTTGCTTCCGCTGAGCTGATTTATTTGTTATTGATATTTTATTTATTTAATTTATTTTTAAGACCTTCGCTAGAATTATTAATTTATTTATAAAAAAAAAAAATGTTGGTTGTTTCAAATATCATAGAAGTTCAACCATTTTTGAAATTATAATGAGTGCTACAGGTGAAATTATTGCTATTGAATTAGGTAAAATAATAACTTTTTTCTAAATGGAAACTGAAATGGAACTTTACACGTAATCTTTTAAGTTACCTTTGAAAGAATCGGGTTGAGTGGTGTTCTATTAGCTATAGCGGCAACGAATATTGGGATGAAGTCAAGCTCTTTAAAAGTATATAGTTCATAATAATAAAACCCACACAGTACTGCTTTGTGGAAAGAAAAAAAATCCTTTAAAATTTTCCGCTGCCGGGAGTCGAACCCGGATATCCAAAAGGTGGGATACAGAACACTGTTGTTCGAAGTTTTGAAATTAGCATGTGTGCTACAGCGGATCTGATTGTTATTAAGGTAAGTAAACGTATATATATTTAGTCACATAAACTCAGATTGCCGTTCAAAGACTGTTACACATAACCCTTTAGTTACTTAGGTAAACTCAGATTGGCCGTTCAAAAATAACCTTTAGTTACTTTGGCCCGAGAGCCCATAAAAAACTCGCGGCAAAAATATGGGAAACAACCATCACACTCTACGTGACGTTGTATAAGAACTGTTCACGTGTTTCCACTAATTCGATAAACACAACTCCACAAACTCGTCGTCAACTTCTCCAAGGCTACTAACAATGGGTACCATACTAATCAACATGTAAACATTTATGATTTAAGATGCTGCTACATTGAAATGAAAGCACACAATGAACACTATTGTTGTTTATGGTATACGTGGATCGATATCAAACGCTTAAATCAGTCGCAGGTGTTAAATAATTCGTCAAAGTGTGTGTACTTTTTGTTTCTATTGTTTAGAGTTAATGATACATTAGATTGCTTATGGCACAGTTAACACTCAAATGCACTTATTTCCATTGGTATTACGGATTTAGGGTAGTGACTTGAAACTCCATGTTTTAAAACTTCAGTAAAAAATATGATGTCTTGCAAATGAAAAGAGTGATAGAATCATCAAGTGATGTTTTAGTGCTACCGCAAATCCACCAGAGAAAAAAATGGAAAATGAATGAGAAAGGAATCTACAGAGAAGAAGAAACTAATCCTATAAGGCTATAAGTTTGCTTTTGTTTGTGTTTGAGTGATAACTCTCTTACCTTTTATTAGTTTTTTTGGCTACAAATTAGCCCTATAAAGGGGTTTTGTTTTGGACGAATGTAGGAAAATTGAGAAAGAAAGCTGGTACTGAGTCGTTTCTAGGATTTCAATGTAAAATTTGGTACTAAATACCGAATTTAAATTACACATAGTTACTATTATGTTCACTTGGAAGAAGCTGTGGTGAGGAGCTTCATTAGTTCATATCAAAGCTCTCTAATAAGCTAAGTCAAAATAAAGTCTACAAAACATAAAACTCAAAAAATTCTGCTGGAGGGAGTCCCAGATTTCCAAAGGGTGGGATACAGAACAGTAACACAATTTTGCTCAGTGAGCAGTAGGAATTGGAATCAAGGTAAGTAAACATAATTTATTTACTCATCTAAACTCAAAGATTTGCAAACCTTTGAATTACTTTGGGCCGAGAGCCCATTAAATACTCGCTGCAAAAATACTATGTGAGCTCAAGTTTCAAATTTTACATCATCCATTCAATAAAATACTTCTCTCTGTTATCAATGGTAAGTATTTTGAGTTTGTTATCAACAGTGATAATATATTAACACGTTTCTTAATACCCTTTAGTTTGTAATTTCTACTAAGAATACTATTCAATGTAATCTATAGCCAGGTTACACTCCACTTTAATTCAACATATAGCTAGTTAAAGTCAAAAGAATATATATATATATATTATATATATATATATATTTGTTTCTTGGACAAGAAGAAACTCTTGTAGCTGTTTTTCTTCACTTTCATATCTTTAGGAGTATATCCTTTCAAAGTAGACATCAATGTTGGAACTCGTTTTTGAAAGTATATTCATTTGTCAAAAACAAAGTTTGTTTGAATGAGAAATGGAAATCCAAATGAGTTGCTTGTAGCATAAATTGTTCGACATTAGAAGTTTAAGGTGAAATCCTCTTGTATATAAAGTGAAATTTTTAAAAACAAGATTTAAAATCTTGTGTACACTTTAGTATATTGGAGGAAAGATATACTCGGGCTGGACTTGTGTTTCGAGCCTCGGGATTGGCAGTCGGACTAAGGTCCATAAATTTATTATTTTTGGCCGAAAATCCTTTTTGAGTTTTGATATTGATTAAGTTAACAAATATTTCCTCCAATTAATTTATTTCAAGTGACAAATAACAGCAAAGTCAATACTATTGTTTTTGTAACTTAAAAACAACTCAAAGTCAAATTGAAAGAAATATTGTGAACTGACCATCTCCCTTTAGTGCTTTACGTTAAGATACGTTGAGCAAGGCTTTATAAAGCCATGTATCCTCCTCTTCTGAATACATGATTAATAACACAATCATACACATGAAAACAATCTCTTACTTCTCTTCTTTTCATTTGTTTTTATTATGAGAGTACAATGTTTGCAAGCTTATGATTTGGATTGTGCAAACATAAGAAGTATGCAGTTTTATCCTGACATTACACTACAATGCCTTTACAGAATAAAGGAAAAATATCATATCTCGATTCTACAAATCCGGGTTTGCTTAATTCTTGTTTTATATTATTTTAATATTATATATTTATTAATTTATTCATATATTATACTTTACAGTTATCAATTGCCCTATGATAGAAATTGCGTTCCTACAGCCATTAGAGCCGTGCTTGATTCTACAATTCCAGTAGCACAACACCACAACCTCTGTTTCAGCCATGGTCGTACAGCAAAACTGCAAAGATAATTCAACGTAAAATGTAAAACTTTTTAGTACCCAAATGCAAAACCCTAGAAAGCCTCATATCAAACGACACTCACTATCTCTAAAGGAAGAAATAAAGAAGGCTTGTTTAGTAGGTAAACCAATTTCATTAACACAAAAACCCTAAACAATCAAAATCAAAATCAAAATACAGACTAGTAAATTTCAACACACTTGTAGAGCTTCTTGATTGGTGTCGCAATAAAGCCTGGATTTTATAGAAATGAAATAAGGTTGACCTAGGATTTCCCAGGTGCAGGGCCGGCTCAACATTTTCATGGGCCCCTGGGCAAAAATATTTTTTAACCCTTTTTAAACAATTATTTTACATTTTTTCTAATTTTAATAATTTTTTATATAATATTTTGTATATATTGTTAGTAAAAAAGAAAAAACTACATATTTTTGTGATATTTTTAAGGTATTTTTCAGTTTTTTTAAAAGAAAAATTATATTAATAGAAAAACCAGGGCCCTAAAATATTAAGACATGAGACTCGCCCCCATGCATCGCACCCACTGCACCCCCTATGAGCCGGCACTGCCCCGGTGATGAGGTCACTTGGCACCAATGAAGTAACTGAAATTTGTATGCTTATGTCATTTGCCAGGGACTTAAGGCACAAGTTGATCGGGGAATGAATATTACAAAAGCTTCACAAACGATATGGTAATTGGAGTTGTACTTCTTGTTCTCATCAGAAGGTAAATATGATAGTCTGATGATTTTATACCGGAGATGATAAGATCCGTTAAACCGAGTGCTATTCTGAAATATGATGCTAGTTTCGGTATGGTCATGTACTGTTTTGTGGTTGGTTTGCAGACCATGTACTCAATGTCTTCCTTTAGACGGACAATTATTAACACAAAGCAGAATCCCATGACTTGTGTCACAAGCTTTGATGTTAACTCTTCCTCGTGGTAGAAAATTGAGAGTGATCTCAGACCCGTCAAGAATGTTTATGTGGTTTTTGATAAAAGTGGAGTGAACCAATATCAGTCTTTTATTATATTCGAGGAAGTAAATTTGTTTAAGTCAAGTACGACGAAATCTGTTTCCGGTTACTTCCTTGAGTACAACGAAAGACTAATGGTTCAGTCCACTTTTGTAAAACTTCACGGAAATATTTCTAATGGGTCTGAGATCTCTCACAATTTTCTATCACGAGAAAGAGTTAATATCAAATCTTGTGACGTAAGGCATGGGATCTTGCTTTGTGTTAATGACTTTCTGTTTAAAGGAAGACACCATGAGTTCATGGGCTACAAACCAACCACAAACAGTACATGGCCATACCGAAACCAGAATCATATTTCACAATCACACTCTGTTAAATGGTGATCGGATCTGATCCTCTCCGTTATAAAATCATCAGAATCTCAGATTTACCTTCCGATGAGAACAAGAGGTACAACTTCAATTACCCTCTCGTTTGTGAAGTTTTTGTAACACCCATTCCCCAATCATGTGTTATAGGTTTAGCGCCCTAACTTAAATCACAAGCTAACACACATGCACACTAAAAAAGGAGAAAAGGAGGGGTGAGTAATGAATTACTCAGTGATGAATGATCATCCCTGCCCACATGAAACACATTAGAATAATAATTCAAAACATTATACACATATACTAAATTAAATCAACCTACCATGTAATCACATTTACTTTTTATCCATACTTTACTTAACACATCACATAACACTTTACTCATCACATCACATCACATACCCCATCTCAGTACACTTTCATATAATAACTATTTCTTTTATTCGTTGAATTTCATTTGATCAAAACTATAATCCAACTCACAACGCAATAACAAAAGCCCATTAAACTTCTTTGCGAAATAGGTTAGGGTCCATTAAGCTTCCTTGCGCAACGGGGTTAGGGTTTTATCGGAATCCCAGGATTGAGTTGTGACAGATTTCGATTTAGATACATTTACGTGGAAGCGACTATCAAAGAACGTGGAAAGGCCAGCAGAAGTCTAACCGGGTTTAAGAATGTCTGAATCCGTTGTTGCTTGCGGGTTCTTGCATTGGTTAGCCAACAATAATGTGTTACGGTTTTGTCTGAAAACCAACACTTGGTCGTTTCTGAGAACCTAGCAAGCGATAGATCTCTAAAGTTGACAAGACACGAAGGGAAGCTTGGAGTTTCCAGTTCGAGGTAAAAGGAAGGAGTGGATTATCTTGAGATATGAGTTTTAGCGGGCATTATTTGGAGTTTTTGGGTGAAAGTGAAAGAGATTGAAAGTATGGGGCTCAAACCTGTAGGATTCTTGAGTAACGCTAGCGTATCAAAAGTGCTTGTACAATTACAATATGAACAACGGGAAATATCAGAATTTACAAATGAGGACTCGAAATGTCTCTCCTTGGTATTCGACCCTGAGTTATTACCGCTCAATTCTGATTACAAGAGAGTTGAATTTAACGGAAGATCAAACGGTCAGTGATTTACATTTTACTATATTGTTGTTTTTTTTTTTTTTTTTTTCTCGTTAATTATCATATTTAATTATACATTTCGGTAAAGTATTCAAGTTTTTTATGAATCCTACATGGCTACATTAATCTTGTTTGAATTTAACTTTCATATCTCAAATGATTGAGTCTACATCAAATAATTATGGACTGTGAGGACTTGACTCATGTGGCTTGAGAGAAGAAGAAACTCCGGAGAAACGTAAGAGAATGATCATGAGCAAAAAGACGAATTTTAGAATACGTACATGAACATATTTTGTTCCACCTTATAGAGATATGACAAGATTTTTGCTTATTATTTGCTTTATCTCTTACGTATTATTTAGCCAATAAAGGTTCTTCAGATCAGATTTTCTTTTCTGGATGTATTTTTATCTTCCTGTATGGTTAACAACTTCTTTGTATTCAGATTTCAGACTATGTTAGTATGTTTCATCAAGTGAATATATTATATTTTTTTGTTGAAAAATAAAATAGAATCTCTTTAAGTATCATTTACTTTTCATGCAAGAAGAATCAACACAGCAAAAGTCCTTGTATCTCTGCAGGTAATGACACCTTAGCTTTTTCAAGCTTTCTAGAGTTGCCACGTAATTAAAATCAGACAACCAATGGAAACATTCTAAATAATACCAGTCAGCTTTTTATTCGGTTTAGTTCTACGTTTTAGACCCGGTTTGGTTTAAAATTTCATTATCCGATACGATGCATTCTTCTTCTTCTTCGACTACTGATATTTTGCCGATGAGACTTTTCCACCAAAACTCATTCTCTCTTCTCTCTAATTCTTCCTCGATTCCTCTTTTCTTAAACACCACTTCGGCTTTGTTCTTAGATCCACCTTGAACCTCTCTCCTCCTTCTTCTTCCGCCTTCACACCATTGCAGCCACACCGTTCCGAATTGGTTCGTTAGATGGGAGGAAGAGCTTCCGTCGCCGGAGGAGGTGTTCGAGCTCTGATTTTCAAGCCCCCGTTCTCGAGCATCTCGCTGGTGAATTAAGTTGCTAGATTAGCTCTCCAAAGTTTATTGTTCGCTCATATTAATTTCCAATTTTTGATTTTTAATGATATGTATGTTCACCTGGAAAGACTCCATTGTTATAACCTAGGCTTAACTTGAGATCTTGGGATTTATGGATCATAGATTTGGTAGTAGCGGATTTGGGTTTTTTTCTTCTATTGGAGTATTAAATCATCATCACTCTACTTCTGTAACTTCATTTTCTTGAAAAGATTGAATTTTGTTGGCCAATTTAATGTTTTTCTTTCTGGGTGTATCTTCGAATTTGATGTTATGTGTTGAATTCTTCTCTGTTTTAGCAGAAACCATGGAAGAAGAGACCAATGGACGAAGGGAATTTAAGCGGGGAAGAAGAATCAGAACAGTAAAAGTCGCCATTAACATGTACATACAAAGAGCTACTTGACGTCTCCCCTGATTTCGATCAGCTCTGGCTCCATTTCATTCGTCTTCTGGCTCGGTAAATTTCTTCTATTTCTTTTGTAAATTTCTTCTAGGTTTGTGTTTCTGAGCAAAAGATAGAACACATATCTCAACATGGTAATGGTTGACATGTTTGATATACATTATGGTCATGGTTGACATGTTTTCATGAAATGTAGCGGGAACAGAAATATGTACTTCACGTCTTTCTTTCTGTTAGGTGTTGTAACTCTGACCTGTCACTCTAAACAATCTGACTGATTCTTATATCCTTTTATTCAGGCGACATCATACTTGGAGCAAGCAGAGTATGAAACAAGAAACTATACTGAAGCTCTTAAAACACAGTGTTTGAGAAACAGGTAGGAAAATAATTGATATCAGAAATACTAATCTGAGTTAGGATGAATCGTAATTGGAGAGACAAAGCTGATGAGTGATCCTTATTGTTGGGAAATGGGGCTTAAATCTGATATGAGAGACATAAGCACGTCAAGAACTGTTTTCTTATTTGGTCTAATGGAGAAAACAGAATAAGAGTACAAACTGATTGGAGTAAAACAGAACAAGGTCTTTTTTTAGAACTAGAAACAATGAAACATAGCTCAAAAAAATATAAGAAATTATGTTCGAGAAGGCTACGGAAGAAAAAACACTATGGTTCCTTTAAAAGATATCGTTCCGGTAATTACAAAAATTTGGGTTGGATACGATTTGGTTAGCTTATCATTCTGGAGGGAGACAATATGTTGACATGGATGGAAACAGAGATAAACAGAGATAATGGACAGGATCAACCAAATATGAAGAAGATCTTAACAGAGATAATGGACAGAACCAGAGATAAGAAGGCCTTCTGATCAGAAACCCAGTGATTTTGACAGGTATATGAAAATCTTGGTGGAGCTCCCTCAGCTTTTGTATGAATGGGTGTTTTCTAATATATATGATGGCTATGGTTCAAACATTCTTAATAGTTTGATGATTTTGTTATGGCAGGTTTGCTAGGATACTTGCAAACGTTTGAAAGAATGGGAGTAGAGTGTATCCTGCCCTTATTGATCACATGGGAGTATAGAGTTAAAGGAATGTTATTTGACGAGAGGGCGAAGAAATTCAAAACAAGTTTCTATCGTTGATATGCACCGAATAAGCTGTGTAACATGTTTTTTTTATCGTTGATATGTCTGATCCGACTTTGGTTAAATGTTGGATATAAGTTGGTATTAACCATAATAAGTAGTTAAAAATTAAGATCTGATCCGTTTGGATTGTAACTAAAGAAGACTGGAAGTTGGTTTGACCGGTCAAACACCATCAAAACGACAACTCGTTGTCGTATAATCAACTTGTTGGGCCCAGCCCTATATTTTCTAAATTGGTTTTGCAACATAAGGAAAATTGGATTAAAATATCAAATGTAATAGCAGTAATTTAATTATTTATAATACGGGAAAAACACAACAAAAGTCTCCTGCAGCGAAGCGCGGGTATTTACCTAGTTTAGGATAAAAAACCTTGTTTGTATAAATAGGAAGGCATTGGTTCTTTTGATACGAGATACGATTAGGTTTCTGACAAACATTGTTTTATTTATTTCCTATGTAAGAAATTCTACTTATTAACAATGACAAACAGTCCAAGTGAAGTGAATAGTGAAGAATGCAGATTCAATGACCTAAACGGATTTACATTGTCCACTAAAGAGGAAACTCTTGGAATTATTACCAAAATCGGGTAACAAAAAGAAAATAGGGTTAGAAAAATCCTACATATATAGACGTAAATATTGTCCCAAATAGCCACCGAACAAAGAAACCAGTATTCGTCTTTGATTATACGTACATTCTCACTAATTCTGACCAATTCTGAATGTGAAGAGAAGAAGAATGTTAATATTCATTATGCTGCTTCGGTTTTTTTCTTCTTCTCTTCACATTCAAAACCGTTTGTCTAAAATGATGGAAGTCGTTTCCCTAGATTGGCCGAACTCTGTATTGCTTCTCGATGAAGTTGTGGGAAATTGTTTGGGCGGAGCCAAAGCACTAAGTTGAAGACACTGCCGCTACTATGACACGGGAGGGAGACCATCTACAATGCAGAAGTTGTGCTAACACCTCCACAGTCAAGAATCATGGAATCTACTTAAGATAAAGATGATTGTAAGGGAGGGAGACTTTTGGATGTGGAAATTCAAGATGCTAATGCAACTTTAAAATTTCTGTTTGGGTTTGGGTTTGGATTATGTTCTAAGTGAAGAAGAGCCAATGAAATCAATATTACATTCGCTTCATGCCTTGTAGTATTACATTTGCGTATTTGACTCATTGTCTTGTATCCGATAATTATAAAAGAAGTTTTAGAGAACAATGACGCTGGTTACATGCTCCCATTGCATGTGTTCCAAAATGTTAACACTCTTGATTAAATTCACTCTTCTATGTGACAAAAAAAACGCAAGAAACAAGACCAAGAAGGACGATTCTTGCACATTTCCAAGAAACAAAAAAAGCAAACATAACTACTGCTTGAAAGTTCCTTAGCTCCACACTGTCTTCATTTTTATCACATAACCAAAAAAAGAGCTAATCATTCAAATCACATGAAGAATGAATACTAATCAAACATCTCCAAGTTAAATAACTCTACCAACCGTTTTTTATCTTACAATAGATGCAACGACTAGCCACAGTCTTCACCAAGACAGTTTACTTGGGTTTTGGGTCGTGACAGCGGTAAACGCAGCACACCAATCTTGTCTCACCGAATCTTGAACCTTCACATCCCCAAGAAAAGGCGTCCAAGCTTCTTCTCCTGCGTCCGCCACAGACCAGGTAACCTTCTCTGGTGGATTCTCGAAATCAAAGTTCAACGGCGCTGGTGGAGGCGGCGGTGGTGGAGGCTGCTCTTTAGCTTTCCTGCTGGCTTTCTTGCTGCTTCCTTGGCCTTGAGAATGCTGCAAATACAATACTCAAATATATATTTAGATGGCTTTTGAAAAACAGTGGTGAAAGGTTGAAACTTTAAGCATGTTAAACAACTCACGTCTGAGTTCTTGGTGCCTTTCTTAGTGGTTCCATGTTCCAAGTAGTACAGTACCTCAGTCCTGGACCGAAACCTTTGCCCTGTGCCTGGTTCATGATAATACTGCAAAAATCGGAAAAAAAAAGACAATGTTTATAATTCTACATTACCATAAATTTATCTCTTTTATCACAAAATCTACCGAACCAAATCCAACTAATGCTTGTCAGATTTCTAAAGTGTGTGATAAGGTATCAAGATTTGTAACAACTAATGCTTAGCAATTTGTATTCTTTCTACTAAAACATCACACTTGACACAACTTAACAAAGCAAGATTCTACATTCATTTCAAAATCTAGCCAACCAAATCCATCTAATGCTTATCACATTTCAAAAGTGTGTGATAAAGGTATTCACTTTCTATTGCCATGGCCCTTAAAACACCATTAACATATATCTACCAATCCATAATAATCTATAGTTAAGCTTAATCTATAAGTTTGTTCTTCATAGTCTTCAAATCCATAAACCCAATAAAAAAAGGTGTTTCCTTTAAGATATTGTAGCAGCAAAGAATCGAAATTCGAAACCAAAGAAGACAAGAGAAGCAATCAAAGAATCAAACTTTAAAGAGATGAAATTTATGATACCTTATCGACGGTACCAGCTGTAGCTCCGGAGGTTCGAACCTTTTCCTCCACTGTCCAGCCTGAAGGCAGCCAATCGTCTCCTGGCGGCGCACGCTTACGCGACTTCGATTCCGATTGCATTGTCTAGGGTTCCGTCACCGGCGGTGGTAGTCGAGGAGATGAAGGAACCGGTGGAGAGAAACGGATCGGGAGGAAAATCGCCGGTTGAGTTGCGTTATCCGACGGTGAGGAAGTTGATATATGAATTAGGGATTCTCGTCACCGAGATTTATCGGCAGCGATCTCAGCGACTGCTGGGTTTCTCGGTTTAAGTTTATTATAATAAATAAATAATCAAACCAAAAAAAAAAAAAAAATCTATCTTTAAATTAAAAAAAAATCTATCTTTATTTTCTGTACTTTGCTTCTTCCCAAGGCGTTACCAAAATTGATTAGAAAAAGTTGTGTTTTCAAAATTGTTATGATCGAAGATAATTTAAGTGACAGTAAGTAAGCCATGGCTAAAAGAGTAAAAATCTAATACTTTTTCTTTGTTTTTTTAATCATAAGTGTATAAATTTGTTAAATACTGTAAAACAATTTTTTTAGACTTTTAAATCAATAGAAATCCAAAAAACATAATTATAGACCTTGAAATCTGATTTTTTTTTAGTCAATAAAAAGTGTCTTAAAAACCTATAAATTTTATTTTTAAGAAACACCAAGAAAAAGTTAGAGAATTCATTAATAAGGGACAGAGAGAGTACTAAATTGGAATTGAGCTAATTGGAATTAGAATTAGTGAAATTTTGATTATTTATTTCAAGAGATTCCAATTGATATAATATTTTCTAATACTTTTACCTATCAAAAAATAAAATAAAAAAAATTACAATATCAGTCCATCATAAATTTATCTTTTTAATAATAGTTAGTTGTTTGATAATTTTTTTGTCAATTTTCTATTTATATTGTTTGTTTTTCAATTTGTTTTGCCGGACAAGAATTTTTCAATTTTCATGATGAGAGATAAAGTTTAAACAAAATATAAAAGCACATAATTAAATGAGATTTTTTGAAAAATACCCTATTTGGGTTTTAAATTTTGAAAATACCTTAGTTTTTTTTCTGTTTTGAAAAATATACTTTTTTACATATTAAAATACTGTTTTAGCCTCATTTAAATAAAGCATTAATGAATAATTATAAATTAAAAAACAAATTCGAAAATAATAATATTAGTTTTTTAAAAACTTTACCCCAGATAAACATGTTAATTATTTAAAAATAAAAATTAATATTTGATAAATCTATCTTTTTTTTAGTGTTTATCTTTAAACAAATTAAAATTTTTTTGGCCTTATATAAATAAATACATGTTGTATCATATTAGTATTTGCGAAGTGATTTTCATGAATGGAGCCACCACGTTAACTCTCAGCCGCGGAATTACCAAGATGCCCTTAATGAAAATCTATTATTAAATCTTCTGAATTTCCTTTTTTAATTATTTCACAATTTCGTTTTTTATATAAAAGTTCATTATTTCCTTATTAATTTCCTTATTAAATATTGATAATTATCCTTTTCTTTTTTCCTCGATTTATATTTATCACTTAAATAAATATCCTAACTATCATATTACCGCACCACTTTTTGGAAGAAATCAAATAATTAGGTATTTTAAAAAAACTCTAGATTTTACAACCGACTTAGTCCTATTTAACAAGCAAAATAAACAGAATTTCGTTTCTTCTTTTTCGTGTTCTAAATTCTTCGATTCCATATTTCATCTTTTGTCATGTAGGTTTATAGTTATTGCTAGATCTTAGTTGTATTAGATCTAATGTTTAACTGATTATTCGTTATTTTCTGGAAATTTTATTCAAAGAATCGCATCTAACTTCTACTTCTTTTACCTTTATAACAGTAAATTCCAGGTTTGTTAGCTAATTGAGTCAAAGAAATCAACTATGGTACCAACTCAAAAAAAATGCATTGACAAAAATTAGTGGTATGTACATCTTTCGTTTTTATTTTCAACTTAAATCTTATGAAACCCTAATTTGAATAAACTTATCTAAAAAGATTTTGTAAAATGTGGGTTTAGGTGTGCGGATTGGGGGGGGAGGGGTTGTTATTTGGTAGTGGTGTTACAATGTGGGGTTTGGGTTATTTAGGGGGTGGTGTTACACTGTGGGTTTGGGTTTAGGGTGTAGGGTTTATATTGATGGGGTAGGGTTTAGTTTTTGGTGTATTTTAAAAAAACTTGAATTATTACAGAAGAATTTCATAATAAAAAAATCATTTATTTGAAATTTATATCTACTTTCAAAATTACATTCACAAATAGAAAAAAAAACTAAAACAACTAAAGAAAATCCAGAATTGAAAGATAACAAAACTAATAAATTTTTAAAAGACCTCAACTATATAAAGATAGAATCTATTTCAAAAATATTGAAAATTTTAACTATCGAAATGAATTGGTAGGTGATATGCAAGACACAAACAAGACATAATAGATACATAAGTAAAAGAAAAGAAAACAGTGAAAAAGAAGATGAAAAATTTAGAAAAGAAAAAGAAAAGTCGAACATGAGGAAAAAGAAAGGAAAGAAGAAATAATGGAATGTGAAGAAAATTCCAAAACAAATGAAGAATATTACGTAGAAGAACAAGAAAGAGAAGATAAAAATAAGACACCTCAAGATTACAAAAATAAGAAGTTTGCGAAAACAAAAACGATGAATACAATAAAAAGTTGTACTACTTATATTATTTAAATCTTTAATTAATAATTGTATTTAAAAAATATTGTACCCGCACAAGGTGCGGGACAACCACCTTGTTACGTTGAAAACCTAAACTTCATCATCCTCACAACCTAAACTTCACCATTGACCAAAATATTTGAGCCACCAAAAAGGTACTCTTCTCTTTTGTTATAAGAGTTCATGAACGTGTGTTTTATTCTTCTTACGACATTCTTTGATCTGAATCTTTGTGTACTTGTATACTATGTGATAATTGGATTTTTGGTTATTACTACTGTCTCGCAAAATAAAACTGATTTAGTGAGAAAGGAAGAAGATCGATTAAACCTCTTTGCTTTACGTGGCTAACCATATGATCGATCATCTTTTGTAGTTTTTCTTTTGTCTAACACACATTCATTATTTATTTGTTTTTTTTTTTACGTTCATTATTTATTTGTTTACAGCTCCGAAACATAGAAAAAACTTTTCCTAGAGATAACATCAGAAAGAGAAAGTCTCTGTTGAAGTCTTATCAAAAGACTTTTTCATGGACTGTATGTCGGAGTTTAACGATGGAATTTTGAAGCTTACATCTCAGATTATCGATGTCAAAGAGTAGTTGGAATTTCTTGAAGATTTCATGAAAGCACCTAAAAAGGGGATTAAGGTACAAACTGTTATGCAAATACTTATTGTAACATCTGCGAACTGTTTTTGGAGGTTTTAAACCTTGTGTCGAGCGACATCATAGGCGTGTGTTGGTCGACACAGGTTCTGGGTCGCGAAACCCGGTTCAATTCATGTTAATTGGATTTCGGTTTAGGCAGTGTAGGGTTGGGAACCCTATTTTCACGAATAAAGTCAAGGAGCAGCCTCGTTTTGTCATCTAGCGGCCGCGAATCAGAGAGAAGAAGAAGAAGAGGTGATTTCTGGTCGAATTTGGTGTTCTTGGCCGAGTGGTGATCGATCTGTGGTCGATTAGGTGTTGTTTTTCCATGCTTCATCTTCCTTTCCATGTTTCTAGCCAAATCAAGGTGAGGCCCACGGGCCGAGATGGGCCTGTGGACCCAGAGAGAGAGAGTGGGTGACTCACCTTGATAATGGATTGAAATTGAAGAATATAAGAAACACGATGAACAGTGCCGAATCGTGATGATGAACAGTACCCGATGAACAGTGACAGAAACTGCTCCAAAACTCTCATTCTTTTCTGTCTACTGTTCACCCACGCAAAATCACAAAGAAAGGACGGCACTCTCACTTTTATTTTAGGGCTTTCTCCACTAAACCGACCCAAACCAATTCACTTAAATTGAACCGAAATTAATTTTCAATTTTTGGTTTATGGATGTTACAACTCTCCCCCACTAAACTGGATTCGACCTCGAATCCCAACAAACGTCACAAAGACCACAAAACCCGACCTCGCAAGGCCGCAACACTGGAGATCCTCACTGATCCCCGAGACAAACGTCAATCTTATGTCATAAGCACGTTCCAAGAAAATTTCACTCCTAACTCATCATCCACAAAAACAACCACTTGTACTGAGGCCCACTTGCACCCAGACAAGTCCACACCGGTCCGCACTGAGGCCCACTTGCACCCAGATGAACCCCCAGATGAACTAAACTGCTTATACTGAGGCCTACTTGCACCCAGATAAGCTACACTCAACTGAGGCCTACTTGCACCCAGAGAGTCTGCCAGAGAACGAAGTCTCCAAAAACATGATGAGTTATTCAGGATCGCAATCCTTAGAGTAAAAATTCCGGAAAATGTCTATAACCATAAGATTAGACCGTCTCACAACCAAAAACTGGTCAAACATGTGTAACATCCGAATACCATTTTCACAACACAAGGCAAAATGAGGAAAACTGCATCTCATTAAAACTCCAAAATGTATATCGTTACAACGAAAACGAAAATACAATAACACCAAAGCCAAAAATAACAACTGAGGCTACAAAGATGAAATAAGCTCACTCCTCGACCTGCTTGTCGAACCACTTCCTGAACTTCAACTTCATCTTTGCCTCTGGCTCCCAAGTCTCCTCTGTAGAACCACTGCAATCCCACAAAATCCTCAGTAAGGGAATCCTCTTGTTCCTCAGAACCTTTTCCCTCCTCTCTAAAATCCTCACAGGCACTGCCGGCACTGTCAAATCTGGCTGAAGATCCTCTGGAATCCTAGCCACTAACTCCTCTGTAGGGTGAAGACACTTCCTCAGCATCGACACATGAAAAACCTTGTGAAAGGCTTTCATAATCTCAGGCAACTCCAGCCTGTAAGCTAATGGCCCAACTCGCTCCACTACTGGAAACGGACCCATAAATCGCGGACTCAGCTTGTTCTCTGCTATGGATCTGTTAGGACCCCTCAACATAGCCATCTTGAGATAAACTCTATCTCCAACCTGAAACTCAAGCTCTCGTCTGCGTCTATCTGCATAACTCTTCTGCCTGTCCTGAGCCTCCTTCATGTTCAGCCTCACAACACGAACCTTCTCTGTCGTCTCCTGAACATAAGTAGCTCCATACATGCTGCGCTCCCCCACTTGGGTCCAGCATAGGGGTGTCCTACATGGCCTCCCATACAAAGCCTCAAATGGAGCCATGCCAAGGCTCTTGCGAAATGGCACACAAACGCAAGGTACTGATCTCGCCAACTAGAGACTCCACATCTCGCTCAACTGCGGAATCATACCTCCGTCTACTCAACGCGTCCGCCACTAGGTTAGCCTTGCCCGGATGGTAGTTAATGCTCACCTGATAGTCCGCCAAGAACTCAACCCAGCGCGTCTGTCTCGCGTTCATCATCGGCTGAGTGAAGATATGCTGCAAACTCTTGTGATCCGTGAAGACCTGTACTGTCTCACCTAGCAAGTAAGACCTCCAAATCTTCAACGCGAAGATCACTGCTCCCAACTCTAAGTCATGTGTAGGACGGTTACGCTCACTGCCCTGCCACTGTCTCGAAGCATATGCTATCACTCTGCCCTCCTGCATCAGCACACAACCAAGACCAATGCCTGAAGCATCTGTATACACCATGTAAGGCTTCCCTGGCTCGGGTAACGCCAACACTGGTGTAGTAGTCAACATCTCCTTGAGCTGACTAAAGCTCTCCTCACACTCAGCTGACCAAACAAACGGGACATCCTTCCCGGTCAACTTCGTCATCGGCTGCGCCATGGTAGCAAACCCCTTGACGAACCTCCTGTAGTATCCTGCCAAACCCAGAAAACTCCTGATCTCGGTGGCACTACTAGGTCTAGGCCAATCTCTGATAGCCTCAATCTTAGCCGGATCCACAGAAACTCCCTCTGCAGAAACAATGTGGCCAAGAAATCCCATCTCTCGCTGCCAGAAACTGCACTTGCTCAACTTAGCAAAAAGCTTCTGCTCCCGAAGCTTCTCCAGAACCAACCTCAAGTGAGTCGCATGCTCCTCCTGACTCCTCGAGTATACCAGAATATCATCAATGAAAATGATGACAAACACGTCCAAATACTCCCTGAACACGTCGTTCATCAATCTCATGAAGGCTGCCGGCGCGTTAGTCAAACCGAAAGGCATAACCACAAACTCAAAATGCCCATAACGCGTCCTGAAAGCAGTCTTCCTGACATCTGCCTCATCTATCGGGATCTGATGATACCCCGATGCCAAGTCAATCTTGGAGAACCAAGTAGCACCCCTCAACTGATCCAACAACTCATCAATCCTCGGGAGTGGGTACCTGTTCTTCACAGTGACTCGGTTAAGACCTCTGTAATCGATACAAAGTCTGAAACTCCCATCCTTCTTCTTCACAAACAACACCGGTGCTCCCCACGGTGAAACACTCGGTCGAATGAACCCCTTAGACAAAAGGTCCTCTATCTGCTTCTTCAGCTCTGCCAACTCAGCTGGCGCCATCCTGTAAGGCGTCTTCGATATCGGTGCTGTCCCCGGCTCTAACTCAATCGTGAAAGGATCAGACCGAGATGGTGGTAATCCCTTCAGTGACTGAAAGACATCCTCAAAATCCTGGACAACCTCAATATCTCCCATAACAACTCCAGCTCCTGACTCAGACATAGAAATCGTCGCCAGATACGCCTCACAGCCCCGCTCTAACAACTGCTCGGCCTGAATAGCAGATATCACAATACTCCCGGAAGTCGGTCTCACTCCCTGATAAACCAACCTCCCTGCATCTCGCTCGAAGACCACTCTACCTCTGTAGCAATCCAGATGAACTCTGTAGTGTGACAACCAGTCCATCCCGAGAATAACGTCATACAGCTCCACCGGACTGATGACTAAGTCTGCTGGCATTGACTGCCCCGCAATCTCGATCTCGACTCCTCTAGCACGGCCCAAAGTAGACAAGAATCCACCTCCCGCCACCTTGACCATGCCCGCGCTCTCGCCCGCGCTACTCCGGATGCCACTCTTCTCGGCACGCTCCGGTGTAATGAAGCAATTCGATGCTCCAGAGTCGAATAAAACGTGGGACTCAAAACCGCCCACTAACAAGGTCATTACACACATGCGTTGAGAACCTCCACAATTCTATCACAGATAAAAAGAACAAACTACAACCACCAAAATGCGCGTCACCACTCAGATAGTGGACCCTAACTCCACCTGATACTAAACCAGACATCTGATAGACTGGAAATTCCGCTCCAATCTCTGACGCCACTCATCTGCCGCCTCTGGGCTAACTCCGCCCTCAAAGTACGGCGTACCAATCCTCTGCATGTGCCCCATCATATCCAAATAAGGACACACCCACCCAAACCCGCAGCCCTCTGCTGCACCTCTGCCACTGGAGGTACTCCCGGAGCCCCTGTGGAACCACTGGCGGAAAACGAGCCAATAACTGCGTCAGCAAACCCACCACTAAGTCATCAAGACCCTGAGCCGGAGCACCACCCCAACCCGGAGCAGCCCCCGCTCCCAAACCAACACTCGCATCCACACTGGCCTCACTCGCCATGGATACCGACTGGGTCACCGACGCAGTCGCCACACTCGGCGCCACACTCTCTCCCGAATCCGCCGAAGTCCACAATCTCGGCCCCGGCCTCTCCACGGCCTCTAGCACCGCGCCCTCTCGCGCCACAACCTCTAGCTACTCAGTCCATCTCACTCATGGAACCGAAAAGAGCACACTAGAACACGCAACCAAAACTCAAAACAAACATAAACTCACCGCGGAATCTCTTGTAGCTGAAGGGGATGATACTAAAGCCTAGCAATTCTAACAGTCCTAAAACCGTCTAGGCTCTGATACCAAAATGAAACAACCAACATTTTTTTTTAAATAAATTAATCAATTCTAGCGAAGGTCTTTAAAATAAATTAAATAAATAAAATATCAATAACAAATAAATCAGTCAGCGGAAGCAAATAATAATTAAACAATCTAGCAAAAAATGCAAAACAATAAAACAGTAAACATCCTATCATCCCCCTCTTCAGCCTTGATTCCGCGATCACACAAATCTTTTACCTGCAACACATTGGAATGGAGTTGCGTAAGTATTTAATAAATACTTAGTGAGGCAATCACTCTGCCTACGAGCCATTTACGCAATTTACTAGATATTTAATAATATTTATAAACTCAATAATTATTAAATTCCATTTTCAATTATTAAATAATTCTCATAATTAAATAATAATTTCAATATTAAAATAATTTAATATTTTAAATATTTAATTAATTAAAATAATTAATTATTAATTCCAATTAAAATAAATTAAATATAAATTAAATTATTAAACCAAAATTGATTTCAATTGGAAAAGACCGGACCGGCTTGCGTCAACCGACGCACGTGCGTCATTGATATATCCATATCTTTCATGTTTTTATCAAGGTTTTCACTATGTTTTTAATACAAATAATGTGGTTTTTAAGCCCAAGAGGTAGTTTTCTTGTATATTCTGGTTTTGAGCATCATTCAGGTCAAAATAGCAAAGAAGAGTCCAAAATGGAGCAAAAAGAGTCAAATCACCAAGTTCCCAAGTCTAGAGCACCAAATCTACATTTCTCGCTAAAGACCAAACCGGAGCATCCGAAGTACGACCGCATATTCATGCCTTCCCGACGTCCAAAAGTCATGATTCTTATATGGAAAGATAGATATTTGAGTCATGACCCGCGGCGAAGTGGAAAGAGGTCATTTGGATCACTCGTTGGACCGGAACTTATTTTCTACCAAGACATGTCCGACGAGCGCCTAAGTAGAGCCCATGGAGACTTTGATGGATCAAGAGGCCCGAGATACCGCGCCCAAGGCCTTGGCTCATCTTGACACTAGCATAACTCAATCCAGAAGCTTCCATTGGCCTGAACGCGGCCCATTCAAGAACTTGGAGAGCAAGCTCAAGCGGCTAAAGAGAAATGGAAACTTTCCTCTTCTGCGCGCGCTCAACTTTGCCGACCTAGACCCGCTCTCTACCTATATATACTTGCTTTTAGCCTCTTGTAATAAGAATCACCAGCCGCATAACAAGAAACACTTATTCAATAAAGTTCGGAGCCACTTAGGTGGTCTCCTTCTTCTTTCTTTTCTTCTTTTGCATTTGTATATAGCTTGCATGTTTCAATTTATATAGTCTAGAAGTAGAGATTTCTCCCTAAGGGTGAGGCGTGGTTTAGTCCATATTCCGCCGCCTCTCTCTCTAAGGATTCATGAGACTTCATCTACTATCTAAGACTCATTGTTGAATTATGGATCCTTCCAATGAGGACGTGATATAATGGCCATCGAAAATCGATTGTTAAAAGGGGAAACCCTATGGTTCTCCATCTTTATTTATGCTTAATGCTGTTGCTAGAGTAGCTAACTAGTGACTTGATTTTAGGTTGATATACTCTCCAAAAGCTTGTTATATCTCCGGATATAATATTTGATGGGCAAATCGTTTTAGGCTACGAAAGTAGACCTAAAGAGTTTTGTGAACAATCATTACTTGGATGTAATGCATGTCTCACTCTACAATGACCAACGAAAGCTGAGCCCATTGGTTTAAGAGACATAGGGGATTGGAACCACGAAAGTGGAATAATCCTTCCTTAGTGTTTTGAGTTCAAAAGAATCGGATTTTAACAAACTTTTCAATCGACTTGGCTCATGTTTTCAAAAGAGTTTTCAATAGTTCAATAATGTTGCTTGTATAGAATTGCATTGTTATTTCTTTTGCGTGTTCTAAACAAACACAAACCCTTGCAGACTTAGTTTAAACTCTATGATTATGTAATGTGTGAAATCCAATCCCTTGTGGTTCGACCCCTAAATACTACAATTATATGTTGTGCACTTGCAACACTAGTTGTCTTAGGGAATTATTACTTGTACTCATCCCATAGATGCCGCATCATTCACGTCGACAGAAATATCAACAAATCGCAAAGAAACACAGAATTAACATATAAATCACCCAACATCATCACATAAACCTCATATCATAAGAACAACTCAAGAACAACATTCACGCAATCTGGATTGCAATCATGCACTTTGACAAAGGATTGAAACTGAAGAAAATAGGAAACACGATGAACAGTGCCGAATCGCGACGATGAACAGTACCGATGAACAATATCCGATGAACAGTGACAGAAACTGCTCCAAAACCTCTCCTTCTCTGTTATTGTTCACCCACGAAAATCACAAAAAGAAGGCAACTCCTCACTTTTATTTCACAAACTAGGGCTTTTCTCCACTAAACCGGTCCAAACCAAATCACTTAAATTGAACCAAAAATTAATTTTCAATTGTTTGGTTTGGGGATTTTACAAGATATAACCTAAGAAATATGATAATATTATCATGTTTTGCTAATATATATGATTTTAAAAAATCATATATGTTTAAGAATGAGAACTCCCTATAATTGCTTTCAAAATTTAACATTTAAAAAGAAATATTAGCATTATTTTTTATTTTTTATTTTATAAAAAAATGTTAGATATATACAAATTATGCAAGTTGAATTAAGAATATAACACATGTCATAAATTTAAGATGACACGTGTCAGCTTATCATGGAGTATGAATAAAGATAACTTAAAAGTATTAGAATAGAAGATAGATAGATTTATACCCATTTATTCATCATGCAATTGGATGGAATAAACCAAAGGTATAAAAATTATATAATGTCTATGAAAAACTATCAAAAAGCTGAAAGTGTTAACACAAAACATATTACTTAAGAAATCTTCCTTGTCCTTTATGAGAAACGTTGAGAAAATCTGCGCTGAAGCTCACTGTCTCCATCTTTGTCTCTTGGCTCTTAAGATTGAAAGCTTCCGTAGTTTGTGCAGCGAGCAGCTTATTGTTGAACATAAGGCCTGCCTTGAAATCCACTTGTTTAATTTCTTGTTTCTGTTAAAGATCATGAACACTGTCTTCAAATCCACATATCCGTTTAGAGTAAGTAGCAGCCAGACTCTGGGCCTAGACATTTTAATGCCATAGAGCAAAAAAACAATTAAAATTCAAGTATGATTACTATACAAAATGTTACAAAAAGTTGTTATAAGAATATTGTATCTTATCGGGTGAATTGGTTTAATATTACTAAATTTTTTCATAATTTGAAAACTAACTCAGGTTTATAAAATTTTGAAAACTAACTTTTTTTAATAAGTGAAAAGACAATAAAACCATGATCATTTTCCTATTAATAATGAGGAAAAAATCTTATTTAATTTAGATATATATTGAATTTAGATATATATAAGATATTTTCGAAAATTTGTTTAGATATTTTTTAATAAATATTTTAAAATACACATGTTATTTTGAAAATATATTCATATTTATCATAAATATGAATCAAACTCTATAAATATATACACATAGATATCATTTTAGTACAAAGAAAAACTCACACTTCATTCTTAAAAAAAAATGATGAAATGTGTTAAATTTAAGTCATATTCTATATTTATGAGATGTTAAATTTCACATAAGATCTTCTAAATATCTTTTTTTTTTTCTTGTTGTAAATTTTCTTCAGATTTTTGGGAATATCCCACACTAAAGTTTTTTTTCTTCTCTTTTTTTTTGTTATATAAAATAAATTTTTAGAATAACAGTTTTTTTTTTTATAATTCAAATAATTTTTAAATAAGATAAACGAATTTTAAAACAATTTTAATATCTAAAAAACTGAGGGTATTTTAGTAATTTTGAATATTAGAAAGATTAGTTTACCAACACTTTTAAAAAGGGGTTAGTTTTCAAAATATGATTAATTTATGTAATATTGGTCCAAATTTCCTCTATCTTATATTAAATTTTCATGTACTTCAAAAATTGTAATGAAAATAATAGGTAAAAAAAGAAACTGAGAAAAATTGAAATCATGTAAAGAAAATGAGCATAGATGCATAACATAAATTCATATGAATATTGATTAGCCTTGAGATATTAGTGGGGGAAATGAGCTAGAAATACAATCTTAACAAACAAACAAAAAACATTTTTTTATACCAATAAACCATAATACCATTTACAAATATTTATATCAAATAATTATGCTCGCCAAAGTTTCTTTTTTTTTTCATGAGTACGCACAACTCTATTAGCAGCTTCAATGTGAAATCTCGGTTCTCTCGGCTTCACCACCGATATGCTGATCATGGAAATGATGAGGAGTACACTAAACATGAACACCTCTCCAGCTATAAACCACAGCAAAGGTGAGATCCTGTCGATCTTCGGCCTCATGTTCATGTTGTTTATGTAACTCTTGAATGGGCCAGGGGATTCTTCAAACTGTGGGAATTGTGGGATATGGTTATCTATAGGGTTTTGTGCAAAAAAACCCCTAAATTATATTATTTTTGCAAGAAAAACTCTCACCTCAAAAAAATATAAGTCAAACCACTCACCTCAAAAGTCACCCGCAATATATTGATGATGTGGCATTGTCATAAATCTTTTTTAATTTGTGCAAGAAAAACCTCAAACTAATTTGTTTTGCAAAAAAAAAAACTCTTATATCAAAACGTTGAGTTTTGAAGTTGAGAAAATCATGTTGTTTTCAATTTGCACAAGATCATTAAATAATTATTTACTGTTTTCAATGTAATAATTTAAATTTTAATAAAAAATGTATAAAAATGAAAAACAAATAACTCATCTTCATTGTTT